TGACACCCCAGAAGCTGAGACCTATCACGTGTCCTCCAGCACATAAACACAGTGTGGACATGTTGACAAGGAAAAACAAACTGTTTTTGACACGAGATCGTTTCCTTAAAGAATTTTGTGCTTATTCCAGCTTTTTTATTTGTGACAACGAGCAGATTTTTAAAATTTTTTTTAAAGGTTATTATTGTTTTTAATTCTTTGCATTTTGGACAAAAATAGACACATCAAAATGTCAAACCTCGTCATATTTTAAAGTAGCTGAACTATCTGGTGAGTGGAAACAGACGATGAGTCGCCCAACATCATTTTCTCCTGAAAGAAGTTTGTGCTTGTGTTCTTAGTGGGTCATGTGACGTTGAGGAGTAAATGTGTCAGGGCTCTGTGGTTGGCACAGATATGAAAATACTCACAATACGTCGATCCTTCAGGTTTTACTGAGTTGTATTGAGGCAGTGCAGCATAATTGAGGACTTTTCCTAAACAAACAACAAGCTGAGCCGTGCTTTGGTTTGCTGTTGATCCCATTTAATGCTTTGTGCCTTTAACAGCTTAGCTAAACGATATTCCACCCTTTCACATCGGCGTATTTCAATGTTAGGGCTCACGGTTTATTACTCAGATGTGCTAAAGCCTCAACCGTCTGCTGCACACTTTCCCACTGAATCACCCATAAAGTTTGCTCATCACTGAGTCAGATGGTGGCGAGTCCACAGCAACCTTGTTTTTCAGGCTTCTCCGTGGCTGCTCTCTTTCAGCCGCCTCGGGCTCGTTGGGATACAGAGCTCATGAAGAGGGCTGTTCAGGACGGCCTCCTCTGTTCAGACGTCAGCGTGGCGGCTTCATGTAGCCCAGAGGTGAGAAGCTGAGACCCTGGAAGTCTGCGGCGTCTGTACTCGCTGCTGGGCCTCGATATGGTTTCATGTTTTTGGCAGCAATCTGCTCAAAGTTTGTGTGAAATGTGAAGCGCTGTGTGGGACCAGACCGAGTCCTGGATGGTGTTTCTGTCCTGAGGATGTGAGTCGTTTGATAAAAGCACTGAAAGGTCAGAGAGGAGAGGCAGTGTGTGAGCACAGCGAGGCGTTGACAGCATTAAGGATGGAGCCAGAGCTGTCCTCTGGCAGACACTGACCCGGGTCACCCTGCAATCACACACAGACCAAAATAACCGCTGCACAGTAGCGCAGCGGCGTTACTGATGATAGCAAGCTAACAGCTGGGCGTCAGGTTTAAGATCCAGGCCTGTCATGATGGGTGTGACGTTTGACTGTGGGTATCCTGCAGGAATGCAAAGTCAGAGCACGCAGACGCTGCAGATGTCCATTATTTCTGATCACAAGTCTTCTGCTGTTGGAGGCCGAAGTTGTTAGCGTGTGCAGCAAACAGCCCCGAGGCTCTAATGTGCTGTAGTAGTGAAATGTTGTGGCTTACAGCACAGTGGAGCTGTGGGTAAGCAGATAGTGTTCTTTGTACTCCAGTTTGAGGTCGTTAGATGCTTTCAGGCTGACTTTCAGGGGAGA